CCCTTTCTAACAAAAAAGAATCCGATCATTAAAATTGGACGTAGTAAATAATTATCACGGAATATTCATACACATGGACCGTACAGGGGTGGTGTAAGAATATCTACTACCCGATATCATCGCGTGGGTGTCGTAACAGATGACAGAGGGAAATAAATCAGGAGATGGGCAGCAGCTTCTTCCTAATAAAGATTAAAAAGAGAGAGCTATGGTATGTTCAGCTGTGGGCTTTAATAGCCTGTAACTTTAATGGTAAAGGTATAACGGTACAAATATTTCTACGAATTACTAGCCTTCTCTTATTTGTTTGAGGTTCGGCTCGCTTGAGAATTAGATATTACATTGGAATAAAGGTGAATCGAAATAGATTTTTCCGATTCCGATTTTTTCATTTTATTGCTTGATTGACGATTGCGTACTTTCTATCGGGAGACGGAAAATTGAGCACGAATGAGTGCAGCTTTATTCAAAATAGCTTCGATAAGAGAAAAACTGTAATTGATTCAGTACGTGAGATCTCTTAAATTAATTTGCATTTGTAATAACTGGAGGAGCCGTAATGGCTCAGTGGCTAAGTGCTCGATGTAAATTTCACAGTACGCAAACAGCCTGGGTTCATATAATTGCATATTTATGATCTGATTTACCACGTGCTTTTTTAAAAGCTTTCTTACCCTAAATCCCTCTTAGTTACGAGAAGAAGCCTGTGCCCAAAAGTGGGACGTATATAAGCTGTAAGTTTAACTTTACTATAATAATATCGTACAGTCTTTTATAGGGTAACTTCAAGTTTTTGATGGTATTTAGGTGAAAAATCTTCTTGTAGGTAAATTTACATTGTACAAAAGTAAAACGAAACATCGATTGTAAATTTACTTAGAGATTTTAGTCAATATCTAGATGACATAAGCGGGCGTGTGAAAAACCTATACCTGTGCGACAACAGAACGTGTGGAGTATCGAGATAAGAAACGCCTACTTAGAATAAATGAAAATGGTGAATTAATGGTAATTGGATCTTCTTGACTTTATCTGTCGAAGGTTTTAAATGCTGATCAAGGCCGCTTACGGGTATTTAGTTTCAATCTTTGCAATAAGCCATGACTGCCCTTCTACAACGCATAATATTTACACTGTTCGTTTGGTGTTTCATGTGTAGTTTCGATACGCTTTAAATAAACATATTCTCCTTTAGATTTCGACAAATTACGGTTTCACTTCGTCATTCGTAATGTGCGCAGCAATGGAGTGGAGTAATTTGTCAGCATCTGTCTTTCCATCCCATTATAATGTGAGTGTCTTAAAGGCAACAGTGAAAAAGCTTTTGCTAAACTAAATTTGTGCTCTTTTACGTATTTAGCTACATCACAATAAGTGTGGGATACTAGTCAATTACTGGCTTTTGAAATTAAAAAAACAAGTATGATATCTCATCATTAGCCTACGAAAAAAAAAAGAATTAAAACAGGAGATAAGCAACAGCATCCTTCTTATAATAACTGAATTAAAAAAATCGGGTTGCCGTGTAGTGGCGGTTGAGAATATCCACTACCCCATATCTTCCCGTGGGTGTCGTAAGAGGCGACAGAGGGACACAGAAAGGAGATGGGCAGCAGAATCTTCCTAATAACAACAATAACATAATAAAAAACTGCCGTTGCCAATCCGCTCGCCAAGCGTGGCTACTATGGCAAATATCCCCCCCTGAGCAACGACGCAAACAAACGGCCCCCAGTCCCCGGCGGCCCCGCTATTCCTGGCTACGGTGGCGACCATGGTAACGGCGGGGCAGGGGGTGCTAAGAATCTCCGGTGGAGGTTCGCTTGCCACCTACGACGACTCGACCTGGCAACGTATAGCGCACGCACCCTGAGGACAGACGAGAAGATACTGGAGCTGGAAGAGGAGGTAGACAAGTTGCGCTGGCATATTATTGTATAATCTGAGGTACGAAGAGAGGGGGGAGGACACGGTAATCCTCGAGTCCGGCAACTTGTTCTATCACCGGGAGGGCGACCATCTGTCCCGAGGAGGTGTTGGATTTATCGTCCACAAGTCTCTCGTCAACAACGTTGTAAAGATTGGGAATGTGTCAACGACGGTCGCGTATCTGATACTCAGAATCACCAAACGGTATTCGCTGAAGGTCATACAGGTCTACGCACCAACCTCGGCATATCCCGATGAGGAGGTGGAGAAAATGTATGAAGATATTTCTAGAGCCATGCATTCCTCCAAAACCCACTACACGGTGTTGATGGGAGACGTCAACGCAAAACTAGGCACAAGAGAAAGCGGTGAGCTGAAGTTAGGGAAATTTGGAGTAGGGCAACGAAACCGTAGGGGCCAGCAGCTGGCTGACTTTATGGAGAAAGAGGGACTCTTAATGATGAACTCTCTCTTTCAGAAGCGGTCCCACAGGAAATGGACCTGGTCGAGCCCCGACGGTTCGACAAAAAATGAGGTTGACTTCATTATGACGACCAGACTCCAACTGTTCAGTGATGTCTCAGTCGTCGCAAGGGTGAAAACCGGCAGCGATCACCGAATGGTTAGAGGCACACTGAACCTAAACGTTAAGTTGGAGAAGTTTCGTCTAAAGAAGTCGGCGCTCCGTCCCCCTCGTGCTCTAATCCAGAATCCCGAAACCTTTCAGCTCAAGTTACGTAACCGCTTTCACTGCCTAGAAGGTTGCAATGCAGTGGACGATATGAATGACAAGCTCGTGGAAACTGTCCATGCAGTCGAAGCTAAGTTCTGCAAAACCCGCCGCAGAAGAACACAAAAACTCTCCGATCACACTCTTAATCCCATAGCTGTTAGACGGAAGATGAGGCTGCAATCGTCAACAGATTTGACAGCATACAGGCAACTGAACAGACAGATCTCAAAATGTATGAGGCGAGACTTACGCAACTTTAATACTGCTCGTATTAAAGAAGCGATCGAGTGATCCGGGGATCCAAAGGCTTAGTCAGAGATCTGTCTGCCAGAAAGAGCCAACTGTCAAAGCTGAAGACTGAGTGTGGCAGCATCGTTTTCGAGACACCAGAGATTTTGAATGAGATTGAGAAGTTCTATGGGCAACTGTACACATCATCGTTGGAGCCACACGCAAGTGTGAGTAACGATCCAAGAGCAAGTCTTACCCGACACTATTCCGATGATATCCCGTACGTCAGTCTGAGCGAGATTAGAATGGCTCTCCAGCACCTTAAAAACGGCAGGGCCCCAGGCGAGGATGGAATTACAGCGGAGCTTCTGAAAGCGGGTGGAACACCGGTACTTGAAGTCCTTCAGAAGCTCTTCAATTCCGTCCTCCATGGTGGCACTACTCCGGAGGCGTGGAGCAGAAGTGCGGTGGTCTTGTTCTTTAAGAAAGGCGACAACGCTCTCTTGAAGAACTACAGACCGATTTCCCTACTGAGCCGCGTCTACGTGCTGTTTTCGAGAGTCATTACGAATCGTCTCGCACGCAGACTCGACGACTTCCAGCCTCCCGAACAAGCCGGTTTCCGAAAAGGCTTCAGTACCATAGACCACATACATACCCTGCGGCAGATTGTACAGAAGACCGAAGAGTACAATCTGCCTTTGCCCGGCGTATGTGGACTATGAGAAAGCCTTTGATTCTGTCGAAATTTAGATGGTGCAAAAGTTACTTCAGCGATGCCAAGTTGATTGTTGGTATATCGAAGTGCTAAAGTATTTGTACAGTAGAACTAAGATGGCTATACGAGTACAGAATCAGAGCTCGAAACCTATCCAACTGCAGAGAGGTGTAAGACAGGGTGACGTTATATCCCCGAAACTCCTCACCGCTGCATTGGAAGACGTTTTCAAGCTACTGGACTGGAAAGGATACGGTATTAACATCAATGGCGAGTACATCACTCACCTTCGATTTGCCGACGATATAGTCCTTATGGCAGAATCGCTGGAGGACATTAGCACTATGCTGAATGACCTCAATGGTGTCTCCCAACGGATAGGTCTTAAGATGAACATGGACAAAACAAAAAGGTCATGTTTAATGTCTATGTCTAACCTATGCCGGTAGTTGTTGGGAGCACTATGCTCGAAGTTGTTGACGAGTACGTTTACCTGGGACAAATAGTCCGACTAGGTAAGTCCAACTTCGACCGAGAGGTCAATCGACTGATTGAACTCGGCTGGGCAGCGTTCGGGAAATTACGACACATCTTCTCGTCAGGTATACCTCAATCTCTGAAAACTAAAGAATACAACCAGTGCGTGTTGCCAGTGATGACTTACGGATCTGAGACGGGTCCTTCACTGCTGCCGAGAGGACGCTCAAGGTCGCTCAGCGAGCTATGGAGAGGGCTATGCTCGGATTTTCTCTGCGTGATAGACTCAGAAATGAGGATATCCGCAGTAAAACCAGAGTGACCGACATAGCCCAACGGATTAGTAAGCTGAAGTGGCAATGGGCCGGCCATATAGCTGGAAGAACCGATAACCGTTAGGGAAGAAAGGTTCTCGAGTGGCAGCCTCGTACCGGTAGGCGTAGTGTAGGGCGACCCCCCACTAGATGGAGTGACGACCTGGTAAGACATGCAGGAAGTCGATGGATGCAGGTGGCTCAGGACCGTGCTTGGTGGCATTACTTGGGGAAGGCCTATGTTCAGCAGTGGTTTGTGTGTTGGTTTTTTTGACTTGTGTTTTTTTGGTTGGTTTACGTGTTTGTTGTGTCAATAAAATATCGATTGCAGACGAGGAAATTCTAGTGCGTTTTTGTAAGTCGGCATTTACAAGTGAGGATATCAAGAACTCCAAGACACTTTTGTTTGAGTCTATCCCAACGGACAAAAGAAAATATTACGAAAGAATAAAGGGAAAAAGAGCGTGACGTAGCAGATATTATAAACTTATTTAAAACTACGGAGCCCGACCTTATCCTAGTTTTTGTGGCAAGATAGTTAGATAAACTGCCACCAATCGTATGGGATCATTTGGACTGTTCTAAACTGTTGAAAGACATGCTAACGATGAAGACTGAAATCGAAGGCATAAAGTCGACTTATGCTACGCTAGAGTGTGTAAATGAACTAAGAACGGAAGTCTATCAGCTAAAAACCGATTCCCCATCGCCGGCGTCAGCTTTCAAAATGAACATGAAACGAGGTGCGTGGCTAGACAGTGGACCGATGGGACTCTCACATGATTATGATATGTTGCCCAATGAGATAAGTACAAAAAACATAAATGAATTATTTATCATAAAATCGCCTTCGACGCAATCTGAAAAATTGAGGGTAGAACGACATAAGCCAACAGAAAATAAACTAAACGGCCGGCAACGTCTGTCGGTGAAACGAACTCAGGCAAGCGCACTTGCAGGCTGCTGTGAGGGAGGAGTAAGATCAATAGTGAATCAGGAGGCGAACACTCAAAGCGGTCCGGCGGTGACGTTACACTCATCGAGCACGAATCTACAGCTAGAGGAGCAGATGACCACTACTGATAAGGCAGGCGATACATGCGCGTTAGAAACGTGTAAACCGGAGCGCTCGCAAAATATTAACAGCGAAGACTGGCAAAAAATGGTATATCGTAAAAAACAAAACAAATATCGTTACGTAGGAAAGTCGGGCATAGCAAGAGACCTAGAATGCACCTTCAGAGCTGCCGATAGGAAAATTCCTATGTTCATTACGAATGTGAATGTAAAAAAGAAAAAGACATAACTAACCATATTTATAATAAGACAAAGGAAATAGTGAATCTAGAGAAAATAAATATGAAAGTGGAAAGAGGGCACAAAGCATATAAATTTTTAATATCTGAGGCTAATTTATCGAAATATATGGACGAAACGCTATGGCCCGAAGGTGTCATATTCCAACGTTTTGTAAACTTTAAGTACAGGAAAACGAACGTTGCAGGTTCTACCAGCGTAGACGGTCAAAATAAACCCAATAATGGATAGTTCCCCTTTTAAACTTGCCACATTTAATTGCAAAAATATAAAACGATCAATAGACGATGTCCGAGAACTCTGCCGATAATGTGATGTGGTGTGTCTTCAGGAAACTTGGCTAATGTCACACGATATACCCTACATCGGCACTATTGACAGTGGTTTCGGATACACGGCAACATCGGCGATGGATATATCTGCGGGCATCCTTAGAGGACGTCCGTTTGGGGGAACTGCAGTGTTATGGCGATATAGTGCGTTTCAACAGGTGTCAATATTACAGTGCGATAATAGCCGTATTTGTGGTATAAAAATTATAACGTGTGATAGACCTGTGATCATAATGAGTGTTTATATGCCAACAAATTCGGTAGAAAATTTACCGTAATTTATAGACTGTGTGAGTACGGTGAGTGCGATTGTTGACGAATACGGAATTGATGCCGTATTTATTTTGGGAGACTTTAATGCGGACCCGGGTGAGTTGTTTTACAGTGAACTTATTAATTTTTGTAATGAACAACTATGGTCGTGTATAGACACAGAGATATTAGAGTTAAACACGGGCACTTTTACTTTTATTAGTGATGTGTTCGGGACATGCAGCTGGCTGGATCACTGCATTACTATAGGTACTCAGTCGGCGAAGCAGTCTGTGATTAAAGTTGATGTAATATATGACACTCAATGGTCGGACCACTTTCCACTTATTATAAATTGCGATTTAAAATTACTAACCCCTAAAATATTACCTAAAATTATGAATCCATATAAAGATATATTATGGAGTGAAAGAAGTGTTGAACAAATCTCTATGTATACCATTGAGTGTCATAAGAGACTAAGATTGATTGACTTTCCTTCGGAATGTGTGCGCTGTGCTGATTGTGCTTGTAATAACCGTGGCCACTTGCATAGAGTATGCTTTACGCCGACATTGTGACCGCCCTTAGTGACGTAGTGGTGGTAAGTCGGGGAAGCATGAAGGTGGGGGGAGTGGCTCGCGCATAATGGGTTGGAACAAGCACGTCAGCGCTGCTCATAGGGAGGCTAGGTCCAAGTTATATGAATGGGTGATGTGCGGAAAGCCAAAATCGGGTCCTGTTTACCGAGAAATGTGCGAAAGCAGACGAGTTTTCAAGTCCAGATTAAAGTTGTGCGAAGACCACCAAGAACAAATAAAAATGGACTCTCTTGCGGAAAAGCATTCAAAGGGTAACTTTAAGGGCTTCTGGAAAAACACTAGTAAAATTAATGTACGACCTGGCCTCCCTGTGAGCGTCGATGGTGTGAGCAACCCCAAGGACATTGCAAATGTCTTTAGGAACCATTTTTCTGTGAAATCGCCACTGGGCCCCGCCGTGGATGTGATTAATAGTAGCATAAGTAGTCACGTGGTAACGACCGCGTTTTTGGCAAAAGATGTTTCAAAAGCCATAAAAGGTATATCAAGAGGTAAGTCACCGGGACATGACGGTCTTAGTATTGAGCACCTGCAGTACGCCGGCCACATGTCGCGAGGGTATTGGCTATGTTTTATTCGCTATGTGTGGGCCATTCTTACTTACCAGCCGATTTTATGAAGACAGTTGTGGTGCCTGTAGTGAAAAATAAAACTGGTGATCTTACCGACAGAAGTAACTACAGGCCTATCTCCCTTGCCACTGTCATAGCAAAGGTGTTTGACGGGTTGCTTAATGCACAGTTAAATAAACACGTAAAGCTGAATGATAACCAGTTCGGGTTTCGACCGCAGCTGTCGACTGATAGCGTAATACTGTGTTTTAAGCATATCGTTAAATACTATACAAACCGCAAGACGCCTGTATATGCCTGCTTCCTCGACTTATCAAGGGCTTTTGATTCAGTCCGATACGACCGTTTATGGGATAAGCTGAGAAGCATAAACTTATCTGAGGAACTCATTAGCGTGTTCCAGTATTGGTATTCACACCAATCTAACAGCGTACGTTGGGCGGGAGCAGTGTCGGATCCGTATTGGCTCGAATGTGGAGTCAGACAGGGCGGATTAACATCTCCGACACTTTTTAATTTGTATATTAATGATTTGATCGTCGCTCTCAGCAGCAAGCGCTTCGGTTTTCATATCGACGGCGTATGTGTTAACAATCTGAGTTAGGCTGACGACATGGACATGCTGAGTGCGTCGATCTGTGGCTTAAAAAAACTGATACGCATTTGTGAAGAGTATGCGAGTGGATACGGTCTAAAGTACAATGTGAAGAAAAGTCAATGCATGGTCTTCAAGGCAGGTACCAAGTGTCCCCAGGATTCACCTCCAGTGTTACTAAATAGGGTGCCGCTAGAAGTTGTCAACCAATTTAAGTACCTGGGACACATAACTAATGACCTCAAGGACAATGCGGACATTGAGTGGGAGCGGAGAGCGTTGTCCATCAGAGCCAACCTGATAGCCCGCAGATTTACACGTTGCTCACAGGAGCTAAAAGTTACACTGTTTAGAGCTTATTGTACGTCACTCTATTCATCGAGCCTGCGGGCAGACTATAATAAACGAAGTTACAACGATCTCCGCGTTCTGTACAATCGCTTTCAGGGTAGTTTTGGGGCTGCCCCGCTTCTGCAGTGCCTCTGGCATGTTTGCGGAGACGCGCACTGCCTGTTTTCATGCGACCATGCGTAAGCGGTGCGCGTCACTGGTGCGGAGAGTGCGGACCAGCTCCGATATTATTCTGAAAGTGATTGGAGACAGATTGGACTGTCCTATCCTCCGGCATTGCTGCGACAAAAATGTCCCAGTAATTGTGGGAGTGAGAAGGTATTAAATAATAATTATGTGTTACTTATTATTGTTCTTATATGTTTATATGTTAGTTATTGTATTTTAGTGACATATTATTATTATTTATTGTCAATTAGTTAATGTTTTCAAATCAATGAATTTTAATGATATGGATGATATATTATCTGAAATAAATTAATAAAAAAATTATCATGCTAATGTTACCATTTTATATTTTATGTATAGAATATGAGTGACAAATGAGCGCATTGTCCACCAGATGGTAAGTGGTTTCTGTAGCCCTTAAAAATCTACATCTATCCTCGATTCAGAATTAAAACGCAGATGCGCTGGCACCCCTGAGAACTAATATGGAACGCCTCGTTTCTAATAAAAAGGGTTTCTCCGGTTCTCTTCACTCACAATACGAAACATATCAGTGTTAAGCTGGTATTTTGTGAGAGCGTGGTCTAACCCTGGCCGAGACGACCAATTCGTACTACAACTATAATATAGTTGCAGTATGGTTTTACCAAGTAAAAACAGCATGGCTCTACCAAGTCAGTATGTACCTTTAAAAAATGAATTATACTTACATCTAATAAAAATACAAAAGGATACCTGCTGAGTTTTCTTTCCTGTCTCTTATATACAAATTATTTCATTTAGAAACAGTAGTAGAATAAAAAAGACGTTAGAATAAAAGAAATTTTAATTTCTCGCAAGAAATAAAGGTTTAAACTTCATTTAAATTTTCATTGCTCTTTTATTTAAATCATTTCTTACGACATTGACTATATGAAATAGGAAATGGTTTTTATAATGAAGCCACTACGCGGTTGTTCATTTGTTTATTAACTTATTCTCTACATATTTTTACTTTTTTTAAATAAATAGTGACTTGTAGAGTAAATACTATAAGTAAGTATATATAATAAGCACCTATGCGTCGATTTAAGTATGTGACAGGAGCGAGACGTGTCAAGATTTTGCCAATGGAAGTCCACAGTCTTTGCTGGACCCTGGGTAACAGGTTTGAAAGTTTACATATTATTTAAGTGACGTTTAGTGTTTTATACGTGGTAGAGCCATGCTGCAGTTATATTAGTACTTAGTATAGTTGTAGCACGAATGGCTCGGCTCGACTGGGGAAAGACCACGCTCTCACAGAACACCAGCCTAAAATAGTAACTTAATGCTAATGTGCTTTGTATGGTGAGTGTGGAGAACCGGAGTTCATATTTTTACCGGAAACGAGGTTTTCCATCTTAGTCCTCCTCATGTAGATGTCTATGGGCCGCAGCAACCACTTACCATCAGGTGGACTGTGTGCTCATTTATCACCCTATCCTATAAAAATATGTTAATAAAGACCAGATGGATTGCCTGTTGTAATTTTCTGCCAATAAACCAGTGAATCTGGCAAAAGCATATTTCAGTTTTATTTTACTAAGTAAAAAGTAACAGGCTCACAGTTTCCACTGCTGACAACTGTTCTTTCAATTACAGCCTCAACTTTCGTATAAACAATGATAGACAAGTTATTGTGTCCCAAGTGTACGTATAAACTCGTACGTTAGTCCTAACAAAGTCCTTAATTTTTTGAGCTTGTATCAGCCTGCATCCTGCGAACGCTCGCTTTTAAGTAATTTTTTTGTAGGATAGGTTGACAAACGAGCACACAGTCCACCTCTTATTAAGTGGTTGTTGTGGCCCATAGACATCTACATTTATCCTCGATTAAGAATCAAAACGCAGATGCACTGTCACCCCTGAGAACTAAGATGAAATGCCTCGTTTCCAGTATCACACAGCATCCACACACCATTAGGTGGACTGTGTGCTCGTTTGTTACCCTTATTCTACAAATATAGTGGATGCTATTGTACATATAGCGGGTCCGCCAAATAACTTTTTTTTAAAATGCTATTAAAAAAAACTACTAAATATTTTTTCAAATTTCTTTTTTTATTTGAAAGTAAAATCCTTCCGGTTAATGATGG